AATAAAGGAAGAAAAAGAAGAATCATACGTATCCGGTTGATAAAATTGAGGATATAAGGCTTATTAGGTTTGGTAATAATAAATATACGAAAAGCATTTGAAGGCGTGGTGAAAGTATTAAAACGCATAAGCCAAGAACAAAGGGGAAAACAAATGTTAATTCAGGTGGTCAAGGCAATTTGAAAATGAAAAGAGGAACGAAGCTAAAAGACAAACCTAAAGGTTCCAACGAAAAGAGGACATTCAATCATTATATAAAAGCTGCTGATGACAGATATAAAACGGTCGAATAGAATTTAAAACGTGCAGAAGGTGGTAGTTTATATAAACAGTGTGATCTTGGATTATGCGATCGAAATCGAATAGGCGGAGCTAATGATAAACAATTGGCAGCTGAAGGAAATTAAAATTTGATGAAGAGGTTCTTGACAACTGCTATCAAAGTGATGAGGCGATGGTAGTGATGGAAGCACCATTGGACAAAGTAATGAGAATGAATGCGATGATGAGGGGTTTATTAGAATCATTGACGAAAACTGAGTGTGATAGTAATGATGCAAATAATATAAATAGTGAAATCAAGGAGTGCGAAAGGGGTGTTAATGAAAAGCGAGAGGATACAAACAGAAAGGTGATTGCAAATAAAAAGAGAAATAAAGGGGTGTATGGAGTGAAAAACAAAAATGTTAAAAATATACTCATCTATGATAATGAAACAGCCCAGAATGTCAAATCTAATCTAGCATCCGGTGATGAAGACGTTGAAACAGATGAATTTGAGGTATCCATCTATTATCAGAAATCTGCTGACATGAGTAATGCTGATGAAGCATTTAATGTTCGAAGTTGTCACCGAAATGGAATAGGAATTGAGCGTGCAGCATCCATTAATCACCAAAGATCTGCTAAGGATGAACGTAAAGCGTTTGAATAGTATTTGAAATGCATTGAAGGTGATGATTCGAAGAGAGATAATCACAGTATGACAATAGAGACATTGATGAAAATAAACGGACAATCAGTGAAAGCATCGATTAGAACCATTTTAGGTATAAACCTAATAAACATAGATTATGTGAAAAAGAAAGGGCTTATCTGGAGATGTTCAAACAATGTATCAACTATTGGTAGTACAAGTAATGATGAGATCGTTGGATGTGTTCCTGGTGTTGAAGTTGATATTAACGGTGTTAAAGTGGTTCAAAAGTTCCATGTGAAGCGTGGATTTTGTTGTGATGTCATTCTTGGAATACCGTGGGTCATGAAAACAAGGTGTAGTTTCGAATGGAAGGATAGAAAATGTCACTGTATGATCCGATCTGGCTTAGAGAAAGCAACATTCGTGATCTCTGATGAAAGCATAGATAAATATATGAATAAAGCTAGTATAATGAAGAATGATGATCGAAAAGAAAACGAATTTGTAGATGTTAGACGTATTAAAGGTAAATTGACGGAGAATGATGGTGCTGGTGAAGAGAAAGAGAAATGTAGTGATAGAAAAGACAATAATGTTGTGAACGTAAGGTGTGTAGTAAACGTATTGAAGGATAATGAGGCTAAGTTTGATTATAATGGGGGTGAAGCTGCAGATGGCAGAACGAATGAATCTGGAAGAGATTACCATGAAAGTAAAATCGAAAATGAAAAAGATGAACAAAAGGTATTTGTTCAATGTCAAAGCCTCAGGAAAATAAGTTGTGGTAATGAAACACGTGATCACAAGTGTGATGATAAGAATAAACGATACATTGGATTAGGAGGAGCATCTATGAGTCACCCAAGTACCATACGAACATTGAATAGCATGTTAAAGGCTAAACGTAATATGAATAATTTTGTAAGGTTAAATGGTGTAAACTGCCGAAGGGTGAAAACAAGTAGAAAAGTCGTGAATAATGTATATGCGAGTTTAGTTGAAGGTGTATTGCGAATCGACAATGCAAAAATTAAGGTGATGAATACCTTAAGATTTGAAAGTAATAAAAGTTTTAATAAAAATGGTAATGATCCAAAAAAGCTGGACGCGTTGTGTGTTGGTGAAAACGAAATTCAAAGGTTTAATCGTAGCCCGATAGTATTTGAAAATGTTGGAAGGAAGGGATTTTTCAAATGACTATATTTAGACCATGTGATTGGGAATGATGGACTAGTTAGTGTAGTATTTGGTAGTCATTTTGAAGTGAGGAAACTTGGTGGGATGGATATGAGTTGTTGTAACTTCGAGGACGAAGTACCTGGGGATCTAGCTCCTGTTGTGCTGATGACCAACACCCCTTGTGTTGATATTGCTAGGGTTAGGTACGATCACGAGTTACCCGATCGTGACTGGGTAATGACAATAGCATGATAATTGATGCATGAATTTAATTTATAGTCTATTTGTAAGTACTGCATAATGCGTATAACTGGGTAATTAAGTACCCGGATTGATAATCTAATAAAAGCGTATCGATTCTAAAGGAATCAATAATAAGTTTTTAGCTTAGTGAAAAATGTTCTAAAGGAAAAACTGTGTGGTCAACATTATAGTCTATTGGTGGTAGTACCTGAAACAATACTCCAGCCTGTATGAAAAGCCAAGCGAGTTGAATTGAAAGGCCAAAAGAACAAAGACCCATATAACTGCCATTCTCCGTGACAGTCAGCATCAAGATGAGCTTAATCAATATAATAAATGTTGTACTGAATATACTACTATACCTTCTTTTATATTTAACTCAGAAGTAGTTCTGAAAGAACCAGACCTTCCAGATCTAGATTCTGATGCTACTTATAATGATCTTGAAAATAAAACTAACTAGAAGTTAGGCTTGACACTCCTGTAATAGAAACAAATAGCTATACACAACAACACTCTGTAACCCATAATTATCCAAGCCCTCTAA